AGGCAGGGAGGTGGGGTAGCTGCTGGTGAGCGCAGCCACGGAGTCGCTTCCTTCTAGGCCTGTGGGGCCTCTCCCCAGCGCGTCGGATGAGCGGTGGCCAAGTGCTACGTTCCTGACCTCTGTTAGTATAAGCCGCCTCTTCTTGAGGAAGACATCTCATATTTGCATTGAAAGGTTTCCAAAGCTTTTTTTTCCCGCAACCTTGTGCTCCGCTGAATGAATGAGGTCCTTAGTGATGGCTGCTTCTGTGGTTTTATTTTCTTGAGGATTAACACCTGGGAAGAAGAGAGTGAAAGAAGGAAGCCTCTAGTAATTTGTTTGCTTCCAATTATCTACAACTTCATCTAGTCTGAACCCCTGCTTCTAATATTATTATTTAAAGCCAAAAATAATAGTAGAATTTCAGTCTTATTGGTGGGTGGGGGAGTATTTGATGACAATATTCTCGTCATCTGCTGGGTGTTTCTAGTGGAAATCCTGTTAAATGGCACCTGCACCTATTGCAGATTTTATGATGTGTTCATGACTGTACTGACCTCCCTTGCATGGAATACCAAATCTTTCTTTACCTACAGGTCAGTTACACAGTAAGGCTAACATTTATCAAGTATTTCAGAAAGCTGAGACAAAGTAGGTAGCTTGGGTAATCTTGTTTTCTAGTCCCAAGGTGTAGTGAGCAAGCAGATCTGTTTTGAGTTTCTTTCACATGACATTGCAAGATACAGGTATACTTTCTTGCACCCATTAATTCTTTGTATTTGGTGCCATGTTGCCTGGGTTCAGAATCATTTAACAATTTGTTGGTTTGGTTTTTTTAATTGCTTCTGTCTGTTTTTTGTCACTTTTCAGGAATGATTTTTTAAATTTTTTTTAATTGCCCTTTTAAGACAGTTCTTGTAATTAAAATATAAATTGCTTCAGAGTTTCCAGTGAAAGTCTGTCAATGTCCATGCAGTGCTAGAATTTCTAAGTATATTTGTAGTGCACAGTTATGGATCACTGGAATGTCAGATAGCTCTTACCATGTTCATACTGTAAATAAATGCATAAGCTTTCAGAGAAGTGGAATAATTATTAAAATTATAATGGAAGGGTCATGATAAATCGAATTAGGATTTTGCAGTAAGTCCTGTGAAACTAAATGATCCATAGCAGTTTATACGAGCCAAATTTTTTCTGATAGATTACTGCACAGAAAAGTGACCTTAGAAATGCACCGTTTTACATTTCTTTAAGTTTTTTTAAGAGATTTTAGTGTACTTGATGCTCTTGAGAAGTGATTGCTCCTGCCTGTGTATTGACATTATCAAGCCAGGTTTAAAAGAAGCTTGAGTTCAGTTCAGCAACACCTAATTCATAAAATTTTCTCTTTAAGGTGCAAATAAGGATAACATCAGAGCAGGATGCAAGAAGTGCGGTTACCGTAAGTCTGTAGAAAGCAATGTGAAGTTACAGTGTTTTCTTCACTTTATAGTGCTGGAAATGCCTTTTGATGGGGGGGGATAAAAAAGTTTTCTCCCTTGTTGCCCAGACATTTGTCAGTTCAAATTATTGTAATTTTTAAAATTTATTTATTTCCCATGCATTCTCTGGCTCCTCACACCTATTGCTGCTTTTTGAAAACCCCTGCGTTTCTCAGGGGAAAAAAAAAAGTATGCCATTGTATTCATCTGTCCTACATTTGCAATACAATTACTTGAGAAACTTTGAATTGCAAGCATGGTCTCTTTACTATGTACTGAGATTAGCATTTGTGCTTCTTCTGAGTCTCGCTGAAAATTTAGGCAGGCATTTCAGCTCAAGTCAAATCTGTCTTAAAAGAAAAAATAATTTAAAATCTGTATGTTCGTCTGCGCTAAGAAAATGTACTCCTTTGTGCATTCTGTATTTCAAGAAACAGTTAATTTTGTTACTTACAAGTTCTGTAGTTGGCATTTAGCTCATGCTTTGCATTATGGGCTTGATCAGCCCATATAAGCACGTCTGTGGCTACTCTCCTGATGAATGGAGACAGGTCTTGGTGAAGAATTTAATTTGTTAATCACTAACTCTTATTTTTAGAACAATGGAGGGGTAGACACTGTTTTGCAGTGAATTGTGTTGAACATTTAAAAGAGTGATTTAATGGGTTTTTTTTTAAGAGCATTATGTGACTTGAAGGGGAAAAAAAAAGCTTGCTTTGTTCTTTCGCTGTAGACTTTTCTCCAACAAATTTTATAAATTGATTGCTTTGTGTACCTATTCTTCCAAATGAACACGGATATCAATATAGATTTAGTACTTTATTTCTACATGCAGTAAGTATCAGAAGCTTTCTGGAAGAGAACTTGTAGTCAAATCACACAACCTGTATTTATGTTCCTAGAAGCTCTGTCTTCAAGATGGTGGAGAAGATGAGTTTATTTAGATTGCTACTTGAATTCCTGTGTCTTTGGCTTAGTTTCTCCCAAACCGTAACTTCAATTTGTTTTATTTCTCTTTATTATTGCAATAGGTGTATTCAGAACAAGGTTTCTAACTCTGATCATGATTATTAAGATGTAACTTAGAAGACTAAAAATACTAGACAAGTAGTAGCTTAGTCAGTATTATGTACTGGTTGTTAAAGATTTGTCTCACAAGCAAATAGAATTCTTTTCACTAGAGGGAGACAGAAAGAGCGACATAACACACTTACTGTAGTTTAAGTGTTTCACTTCATGCTTTTAAGTAATTTCTTCAGGAAGGATCTGAGACATTAACAAAATAGAAAGTAAAGGTTGGACAAAATCTTTAACTGATAAGAGAGGTCTAGTAAGCGCTAGTAAATGGAATAACATTGCACAATCTGTCAAAATTCTTTGAGGCTTTTTTAAAGTAACCCTTCTCCCTCCTTGTTCACAGATGCAGACTAGCCCTTTTCAAGTTCTCAAAACACAATAATACTATAACGGATATTCTTTAGTTTCTGATATCTTCAGGTAGATTGTAATTTTTCTTTCTGAATATTTGTTTTGTTCAGCTGGTCATCTGACATTTGAATGTCGAAACTTCCTCCGCGTAGATCCCCAAAGAGATATTGTTTTAGATGTCAGCAGCACTAGCAGTGAAGACAGTGAGGAGGAAGAACTACAGAGATTGCAAGCCATGCGTGAGAAAAAGAGTAAGGCTTTGTTTGTTTTTTTTTCTTAAAGAGTAAATTGGGTAATGGTCTTCTGAAGTACTGGAACTCTCACTGTATCCTTTCTGCTAACTGCTATTAGTTCTTTTAACCTGTGCTTTAAAAGTAAGTCTTTTACTTCATATGTTCAGACTTTGGAGATTTGATACACCCACATCTTTTTTTTTTTTACTATTATTAATTCCTGTCATAGGAAATTAATAATGTCCCCATTTGGAACATCTCAAAAACCAGCTCCTAAATACGAAAGATTGTAAGACTGTTACTAAGAAGCTGCTTAGGAGAAAGCGACATGGGTGTTCTGAGTTTTGATTATGGCATGTAGTTTAAAGACTTTAAAGTTGATAGTAACTCTCAAAACTAATGACAAATATGACAGTTGAATTTCTTTCTACTTTCTAAGTAGTGTTTTGACTGAAACAGCTAGTGAATTGAATTTAAACATTCCTATTTTGAGAAGTACTGTTCTCTGGAAATATGAGCATCAGCTGTTTGTCAGAGAGAGAACAGATGGATTATTTAGCAGATACTTGAGTTAATTTGAATTTGGACTCTGAAGAGGCTGTTCCCCTAAGTAATAAGGGAGGTTGTTCCACCACAGCATGTTTTGAATGAACGAATAATCTTCCCCTCTGCCCCTTGAAACGTCATGCTTTGTTATGTTGCTTTCACATTCCAGACTCAACACTCAGTTCCTACTAACCATGCTGCTTAGGAAAGAGAAAGGATAGATAGAACCCTGTAATTTGGTGGAACACTTCAAAAGAAGTGGATAGTCTAGCTGCTGAATTGGTACTGCAGCAGTCCTTTCTTGGAACAAAACTCTTTGGAAAAACTTGTTCCCATTTGTGATGTACTTTGAAGTGTAAGGGAAATTTTTGGCCCTAAACTGATTAAAGATGGATATCCGCAGGAAAAACAGCTCTTTACTTTATCTTGTGATACCCCTGTGTATTACATGTTCTTTCTCAAACTGTGGCTGCTATGTGTACTGTAAGGAGATATGTGTTGTTAACTGTCAATAATCTGGGCAGGATTTTGCCGTTTTCAAGTGGTCTCATCTTCCCAAGATTTTTACACTGCACTTAGATTTTTGCACTGTTTCTTAAAAAAATACTTCAGTACTTGTTCACGCATTCTTTTTCATGGCTTTTAATTGCCTCAAAAGTAATTTGCTTTTGTAACTTGTATTGAATTTTTTCAGATTTTGCTCCAGAACTTACCAGTAATTTCTGTTCACGGTAGGAAATTAATAACTGCACTAGCACGCAGACCCTGTGGGAAGTTTAAATGCTCAAAATTATCTGTCTGTTTTAGCTAAATGCTTTAAGTAAAGTCAGTATTTTCCTGTTAGCTGCCATTGTAAAGTGTATTTTTGTGATGGATTTGCATTTCAGAGGATGTAAAAATACTTTTTCAACAGGTATAGAAATTTCTAAGGTCAGAAATTTCATCCAGTGTGGTAAAAATACTGCTTTTAAGTGAAATGTGAAGATACTATACAATACTATACAGTGTTAGGGCAGAAAACAAACATTATCAGATGAGGAGTGACTCTTATGCCAATTTTTGTGGACAGTATATATTGACAGTTAACTCAAATGTATCTTAGTTATTGCACAGCTATTTGTGAAGCCTGAAATGAGGTTGAGTGGAAGTAATTCAGGTAATACTAAGGGCATATTCTTTCTTTTTTTTTTTTTTTTGTATGTTCTAGTTAAATGACCTGTTTTCAGACTTGTCAAGTCTTTTAAAATACAGAAGAACAAATGTGAAAACCTGGAGTGGATATAAACATACAGGCAAAGTCATGACTTTTTGCTACATTTTACAGGTCTTCCTTCATTCTTACTGCTTAGCTCAAAGTCATTAGACTGTAACTTGTATAAAAAGTTCTGCTACTCTGCAAAGTATTTCTGAAATTACTATACTAGACCAGAATTTGGAGGAAGGAAAAGAAAAACTTAACAAGAATTTTGTAGGAACTTTACATTGCTATTGAACCCACTCTTAATGCTGATCTTAATTCAGATAACTGGTTTGTAAACTGTAACTTTTTATCCATAGATTTAAATGAGGAGGAAGAAAAAAAGAAACAAAAAAGAAAAAGCAAAGAAAAAACAAAATTAAAGAGACCAAGGAAAAGGTAACTATCACAGACCTATTTTAATTTCAAAATAGAACTTTAAAAATATTCCTGATATTTGGGTTGTTTTGCAGAAAACATTGCTTCTTTCAATGCCACTTTATTTGCAAGGACATCTCTGGTTTGAAAAGCTTCCTGTTTTCCAGTGAGAACTTGTTTGTTCTTTTGAGCGATGGTAAAGCCACAGGCTTCCTGCTGTAGAGTTAGGACCATGGAAGTCTAGAAAGCTGTGGCAGGCTGGAAGTCTGCAGGTCTGAGAAAGCGCAACACTAGGCAAGGTGGGGTGGGAAAAGAACAGAGTCGGGGGATTATGGGGTTTGTCCCCAGCTTAGCTTGCATGGAGAAACCTCCTTGCAGTTCCAAATTCCCTGCATGCACGCATGCATGTGAAGACACACACATGCGCACACTCTTGAGTAGCACGTAACTATCAAAAGGAAAACTTCTGTAGTTTTGTTCAGCAAGTGTTGAGTTTTAATGTCCCTGTCATTGTAGAAGCCTAAAAAAAGTGTTACTGCAGTTTCAAATGAAAATGTCGCAATACTCAAGTTTATTGAGAATCTGAGTTTTGGTCTGCTGGGTGATATTTTTTAGATGAGACTATAGACAGTTTGGTGATTAGAATTATTGATGAGACAATATCCCAGGAACTGCATTGAGAGCTAGGAAATGTGTAATGTTTTTGGAGGCCACCATAAGGTGTATTTCAGAAATAAGGAAACAGTATCTAACACTGGTTTTGTTGGCATTTTTCCCCTTCCTTATTTACGTAGTGTAGCTCAAACTTACACTTAGGAAGACAGTAGAAAATAGTCAGTCTGCTGTCTGTAGTCTTCACATGCAAGTACTTAATCGTTAATCATGTAAACAATAGCACAGAACTGCCCTCCTGAGTATAATAATCATGATTTCTATTGTTGTCTTAATTCTTGTATGTATGTAATCACTCATCACTGTGGTTAGAGACCAATATTACCAGCTGCAAGAGTTTCTCTTAGATTTTCGCATGAGAGCAATACATTAAGATTTGTCTGAAGGCATTACTGTAGCAGTGTTATTGGTCGTGTGATATTTTAAAAGCTGGAAGCTCTGTCTTACTGTCATGCTTTCAGTTTTCTGTCTGTACTGTCACACTTGTTCTTATTGAAGGCTGAAAAACACCTAACTTCCTATTCCATTGTTAATTAATCTGTATTAAACTTACTGCTTTTCTAGCACTATAGTCTAGAAAAGTTCAGTTGAACATGCAGATTCAAATATCATAAGATTCCGTGTGGATGCTACTGTGTGAATTCTACACCAAATTTGATTTGTGACATTATATAAATACTGAAATTAAAACCCCCACATTATTCTTGTGGCATTTTCCTTCTTTAATTGTGAATCAATCTGTGTGTTGGTTTTTTGCCTAGAGCTTCCTCATCAAGTGCAGCTGAAGAGGATGGGCCAAAGTCAAAAAAACAAAAATCAAGCAAAAAAGAAAGAGAAAAGCAAAAAAAGAACAAAACTAAGAAAGGAAAACATCATAAAAAGGAGAAGAAAAGACGAAAGGAAAAAAGTTCATCTTCTGATAGTTCAGACAGTTCCAGTAGTGACTGACGTGCTGGCCTACTATTGTGTTCACTTCTGCAGAGATAATTTTCCTTTCAAATCAAGTGTATTTGTGCTTTGCAATGCTGTTGTGTTAAAATGAGATATATATATTTTTAAGAAATCTATTTGCAAATGTCAGTGCTTCAAATTATTAAATGGACCATTTGGGAAAAAAATCTGCTCTTCTGTTTCGAGTTTATTAGTACTAAACTGTACAAGTTTAACTAGTTCTTCACTCTGTCCTAGTTCAGTAGTGATTAGTTGTGTTTGGAATCCTTTACAGTAGGACATGGTAAACTTCAGTTTGCAAGTCTTTGTGTAGAAAGATTTGGACTTAAATTTTAATGCTTAATGTCAGAATGGTTAAATCAAATTTGGAAATGCAAATGAGATTTTCTATTATGTTATCCTTTAAATAAATGTATGCTTTGCATAACGTTTTCTACTTGCATACATTAATCAGTACATGCAAATATGAAATAGTGTTGGGGTCTAGAGCAGGGAAAGAATAGGCAATGAAAAGCTAAAAGAGATTGCTCCTTCAGAATTATCTTCTAAAATTGATGTAGTCACAGACTGTGAAACACAATTACAAATTCTTTTGGCAGGATTACTGCAAGCAAGCTGAAAACAAAAGCAACCGAAAGTCCTTTCTTTCTGCTTAGGTTTTGTTCTTTTACAATTACAGCAATTTCATCTTTGACATAGACAGGAAGTGCCACTTCCTAACACTAGATGACTGTCCAGCAAGATTGTTTACAAAATTCTGAGAACCACATTAATACGGTATGTGGCAATTAATGCCTACATGAATCAAAACAGGAAATTCAAAGGCTGACAATTGACAGAATAGTGAAGCCTCCATTCGTTCTAATAAAAGTCACAGTGAAAAATCAAAAACCAACCAACCAAACCAACCAACTTCATGTGGAATGTAAGCAATCTATCATGTTGAAGTTGGTAGCAAAATTTACCATTTGCTATTGGAAGCAATGTTAAGGATGTCAGAATTTTATAATTGGATTCTAGAGTATCCAGTTTGTACCTTGTACAGATTCAAGACAGACTGATACTTCTGAGTTGAGTAGATTTTAGGTGTATAATCCTACCGCAGAAATGCCTAAACCTCAAAGTGCCTACGTTTACAGCTTCCTGAAAATGCTCTTTGTGCCTGTGTTTTTTTTTGCTTGGACACAGAACTGCTTCCACCTGAGCACCTTGGCATACAGCTGCAGTGTAAGTCTCACGGGATTCAAAATATGAGGAAGATCGATAGCTAAGCTTTCTTAACAATAACATCCATTGTCTACGTTTTCTACAGTGTGTTAGAGCCAGTATGAAATGTTTTATGGTATTCTAATGGTTACTGCATTTGGCCTAAAAGTGATATACCTGGATCTAACTCTGTCTTTCAAACTTTCATGTCTCAGACAGTACCCTTATGGGGCAATTTGTGCTGTAGGTGCTGTGCTAGGGAACATTAAAGATCAGAATACTCATGAAAGCACAGAGCAAACCTTCTGTAACCTTCTATGTAGGTCTCTCAGTAGAGGATGGCAAGAGTCCTTACATCTGCTCCTTTTCTTACTGGCTTGGCTTCAGTCCAGTCTTATTTTTCATGTCATGTATCATGATTTCTGGGATGGGCTTGGATAATGTAACTGAAGAGAGACTGGACTCCTTAATTAGCTGATACCTGTGCACAGTATAAGGAACATTTCTTTCATAAGTACTAATTTAACAACTTCTGCCATCCTGTTCACTCTAGTCTCCTTAGTGTTGCTGTGGGTGTTAGAGCTTATTTTTGCCTGGGTTATTTCTCTAAGCCAGTCATTCTGTAGAGAGCAACAGGGAAACTGTGGGCTACTTAAGCCAGTACTGCTGCCAAAGGAAATATTTAATCAAGCCACAGCTTAAGACACAACTGTGCCATCCCACCTGGTGGGGCAAGGGGAGGTTGTTTTGAACCTCCACAGGGCCACGAGGGGCAGCGACAACTAGTCAAAGGTTTGAAACTCCAATTAGTTGTACTCAGTACCTCTGTTTAGCACTAGCAACAACCAATAATCGTAACGATAACTGAGTTGAGAGTTGGCGAAGTACAATCGCAATGCTTATTGGAGGCAAACACAACCGCATGCTCGTTAAGGGCAAATGTGGCCGCAACACTTGGCCCTTGTAATAGTTGAGAACGAGAGGAAGGAGAAAAGAAAGAGCAAAAGAGATGGTGTAAGGCCTTACCACCCCTGGGTCCTGCGGCGGGCGGGTCCTCAGGTGGTGGCATGCGGTGTCCTCGCCTCATGTCCTTTTTAAAGACACTGTCCCCGCCCCTCACAGGCGGATTGTGAGGCCACTGCGAGCATGCACACTCTGAGACAGGACTCTTCTAGAAATGAGTCGGGGGCAGGCTACACTGGGGCACATGCACTTTGTGGCAAGGGTCTTCACCTCGGTGACCAGTAACACCTCACCCGGTGTGGGCACAGAGACGGAATATGGCCAACAGGGGGTGGTGACTTACAGAACCCCCACCCAACCTCTGCAGGATGCAGCCCTTCACTCCCCTCCCCTGCCCTGCCCTGCCCTGCCCTCAGCTCTCGCTTGGGCAAAGCGAGCGTGTGAAGCACTGAGACACTTCACAGCATCTCTGTGGTCGGAAGCCACAACAGCTCACTATGATTTATTTTTTTCCTCCTGAAATGTTCCTCACTCAATGAGACTGGAAAGGTGATTTGAGTTAGGGGAACTCAGAACTCGTATGTAATTCTCCCATGATCTTCCCATGCTGCCAACTCTGAGGAACAGCCATTTGTACTTTTTGAAAATTCATCTGAAGACAAGGAGCTGAAGCAAAATTTTACGGAGCTTTCTATGCCAGAATGGCTGAAGGGTTTATTAAACGATCCTTATTAGAATTAGTATATCTTTATGCATAAGTATAATTAACAAATCATAGAATGGATAGAAGCTTAAAGTTCAGAAAATCAAGTGGTGAAAATTTTAGTAGTGTTCCTTATACTTTTGTTTAGTTTCAAATAGCCATTTCAGATTCTAGTATTACTTGCTGAAATCAAAAGATTACTTGTCTGCCTTCCATGCAGCATTAGAGCAGCCTTTTATGGTAGTTACAGTGGTAATTTTTACCAGAGTGTAAGGCATGAATTTTGATGATGTTCATGTTTTGCCACTTTGGAAAGCGGATTTTCTAATTTGAACAGTTGAAATATCACTGTTCTCTCAATTCATGCATATATGTAACAGAGAATATCATGTGTCAGCTTACTTTTCAGGCCATATTCCCACTTTATTGACAAAGACGTACATTAAAGTCAGTAGATTTTGCCACAAAAGTGCTCAGGATTTCAGGAATATTAACCAATACAGCAAGGAGATGCTGCAATGAACAGTTCTCTGCCAAATTAATATTTGCTAATCTGTAAAAGTGATATTAAAATAAATACTATTTGATTTCTTACTTGATTCAGCCATAGTTGTACTAAGTCTAATGTGTGGTAACAAATGTTATTGTTTCATGTGAGTCTCAGCTTGAACCAAAATGCCTACTCTGGTTCCAGAAAAAGAAGTGACGTTCA